ACGCTAATACTCAAAGAATGGACAAACTCAACAATTAGCACATGACAATTGTCCAGCTTAGCAGCCAGTGGATTGAACATAGATAGCAAAGGCATGAAAGTATATGATCAAACCATACCAATTATGCCAAGCAACTTTTGGGGCTTTTGTTTTCCAAAGTCTCCTCTCAGGAGTATGCCCCCTAATTAAACATTCCATAAAGATGCACAAAAGTCCTACAAAAAGAGCTCCTTGATTTTCTTTGATTTCACTCTTTCATGAATCCAATCAACAAATTAATAGATACAATAAGTATGATCATGTAGCCAGTGGCCATACAAAGGATTGAATATCTTTTCTTGTTCTTCCCACTTCCCATTTTATAGGTGTGTAGATTCTCCACATGATATATATATATATAAAGTAATATGACATAAAGTTGATTGATTCTTTCCTATTTCCATGGCATTTATTAGTTGAACTGAAATTAGAAGTTAAACTCTGTAATGTATACATGTTAAGATTATTTCTCCTATTTTACTTTTTGTTATTTATTTTTTGCTTTCTTAGAATTTGTTATAAACAAAATGTAAAAGGAAATTTAATTTTTTTTATCAATAAACTTCTATTTGATTAAGAATGATTGAATGATTAATTAATAGTTGAAAATTGAAATGTAACACGCGCGCACACATATATGTATATTTGAACTTAGTTATTCATAAATCTATCAAATTCTTATTATTCACAAAATTAAATATTGTTTTTATGTACTTAAAAGTATTATTTATATTGTATTTAAATGCATCTTTTACTTTTTAAATTATTTAGAAGTTAAAATTTAATTGAACAGATTCCACCTGCAATCTCTAAATTTTTATTTTAATGCCACATTAGTTTTTAATTTTTAAATTATTCCATTTAAGTCTCTAATTATTTAAAATGATCTCAATTTTTTTATCTTTTTATTAATTTTTTTTAAAATATTGACATAATGTTCACACTGTAAATTACATGACATGTCACGTAAGCATTTCTTTGATATTCAACATGAATATTGTTCAGTTATTAAAGAAATAATGTAACAAAAGTATCAATTTATTTGACATTTCTTTGGCATTCAATTTAATTAGCTAGTAAAAATAACGATCAACTTGTCCGGGAATGTTGTTATCAAGAATATTAGTTTTATTACTTTTATAAATAAATAAATATATGGATAACATTTATTTTTACTTTACAACTTTTACAAAATATGCAAATCATATTGAGAGATTTTTTATTGTATTTAATTAAACTATTTTACTTTTATTGCAGTAAAATTGAGCCCTTATTATTACAAAATAACGATTATTCCTCTTCATTGATACTCTTAATTAACTTTTACTAGTTAATTTTGTTTCTTTGAAATGTTATTTTAAAATAAAAGTGGGAAGTAAAAAACATAAACAGTGTAAAGGAGATTCTTAGGTTGATCTTAGCTGGCACCACCAGAATTGCCAGTGACCAGCTTAACATAAGGCTAATGCCACATGAGACTGAATGATAGAGATGGTGTACATAAATGATTGTACATAGATACCTGTTTTCTTGTAGTAGAAACCAATCAATTATCCAACAAGAAAACTGATATAAATAATTAACTTGTAGCATCAATTATTACATTTTAGCTTATATACATTGTCACATGCATTTTGTTATCAAAAGTAGATTGCATATTCCATTTATAGTTGTTCAAAAATATTTTCTTTTTTCTTTTTTGGGTTGCTAGAAGCAAATTATACATAGAAGAAACAGCAACCAAATAAAACCTAAAATCCCTGTTTCTCTTGTCCCCATATATGACCATATTCTTGAACCACAAATGTTGATCCGTCCCTATCTTCTTGAATGCTGATATTAGTTCATGATAGGCACCTGATAATCTACAAGGAAAAGTTTGCTAATGTGGTGCAGAGTTGTGGAAGTTTCACAGTCAAATAGAAAAAAAAAAGTTTATACAACCTTCCCCAGTCAGTATGGCATTTCATTTTCGTTCGCATTAATGATAATGATAATGATAATGATAATGATAATGACGATGTGATTCATCCACAAAGCAGGACTCAATTTCTTTTGCAAAAGATATCCACTCTGCTCACCCTCCACCACCTCATCACATGATAAGGTAAACTCTGGTGGCTTCTATCGTCTTCTGCTCCTGTATCAGGAACCATAAAAAAAAGTCCACACTCCTGTATCCCTCATTCAAAGTCCTGACAGATCTTTTTGTTTCTTTGATTTTTTTTTTTTCTGATAAAAGCCACACCCTTGAATTGATTGTCCAGAAATCAACCTTCCTTGCTGTCATTATTTGAAGAAATCAATGGACCAGAATCAAGGGCGGATTAGACAGAATGCCATTTTAATAGAACCCTGCAACTCTGCACCTGAAAAAGAAGACCTGAACAATGATGCCAATCCAAGGCTTACAAAGGGTAGTGACAGCACAAGTGGAATTTCCTAAGGTCCTTAATTGCTCTGAGGATTCAAAACAAGACAAGTTTCTATCACACTCGTTATCAAATATTCAACTTGAATTAGTTGGCTACCAAGAGATCAATGATGCTATGCAAACCACAAACAAGGTGTAATAAGGCATAAGCCACATTGCTAACAGTCCACATCTGAACAAAGACAACTAAATATGGAATATCATGTCCATTCAAGTTGAAAACCGAAAGGGGCTTCATTGTCGCAAAATTTATTATCAGCATACAGTTACCAACAAATCACACATGGAATTTAAGGGGCAAAAAATTTATGAAAAAATAGACGGAGAGTTGGATTTACAAAAATTCCAATTCTACCCACACTAGAGAGAAAGGACAATTTCCCAGACACACTAATACAGCCGGGCCCACCTCTCCGGTCCAAATTTTAACATCAATGGCCCTACAAATCATTTTCCCTTCTGTAGAAAAAGAAATAATATAACAGAAGCAAGGAAAAATTACAAAAATAATCAAAGAAAATCAAATACTAACCAGACCTTCTCACTTCCGAGCCTTTGTACCTCCAGCAGCCTTCTTATCCTCCTTACCAGGCACAAACCTTGGGAGATTCAAAAGGGTATTGACACGAGAAACTCCTTCAAGGGCACACCAATCTATTCCTAATTCTGAATTCATTTCTTCCTGCTTTGAAGAATCTTCATTCACTCCTGGGAGTACTTCTTCGCCAGTTCGCACAGTCCCAGACCGGTCGAGACTGGTCAAGACAGCAAGATTATTGTCTTTCTCATTGTCATTGTCAATTCGGTCCATTGAAGTTGGCTGCACTTTGGGCTTGGCATTGAGAGCAGTAGATAAATTGTTTGAGTTAGAATCAAGGAAGAGACAAACAACAGCACAATCATCAACCTTTGAAGTTGGGTATTTGCATCTCCAAGCTCGAACTGCTGACTCAACCAAGGCTCGAGCGGCAAAGGACCGTGCCGGGGCAGATGCTACAATATCTACCACCTCTTTGTTTGATAGAACATCCCAAATCTGCAAAATAATGAAGCAAAACTTAGAACCGGAGAGAAGGGCTCAAATGCAATTCAATATTTCGAATAAAAATTCATGTTGGCTCCATTACCCCATCTGTGGCCAAGACAATAAATTCATCCTTCTCCGACAGGCGCCAATAAGATATTTCAGGCACAGAAATCAGGCCAAAATCCTTGAGGCAAAAATCTCCAAAAGCCCGTGCCATGGCAAGGCCAGGTGAGTCATTGTTTGGCAGCCAAACTCGGGCAACCTCAGGTTCATCCTGAAGAGCAAAGACTCGTCCTTTACATTTTCGGATTCTCTCCGCTTCCGCTGTAAAGAAGAAAAAAACAGGAGTATCTAGCATGACTTCACTTTTAAAAGTATATAATAGGCAACAAGAAGCAAGTAATATTAGGAAACTTATTTTTTTCTTGATCTCAGTTGAAGGTCAAGGGCATTAGACAAGCAATATGAACCAAAGATGACCTATTCAACAGTTAAAATCATCATCAGACTCCTTTATGATAGTTGTTTAGGAAAAACTGCACTGCTTATTCTTTTGCAATCAATTCTGCATTTCTGTATTCATCTAGACTTCCAGATAACTTCCCATTGATTACAAAAACGACTTCATCTAATTTTTAATAAATTGATTCATTACTCATAACATACATGGCTATCAAATTTACAAAACCTTTCAACATTCTGTAGTCTTATTAGTTTCATCATGCATATGATGTTCATATGCACATCAATAAGTTTTCACAAATGCATTTATTCTATATACACAAAGTGCTTTCCAGGGTCTTCCCACCATTGCTGCCAGCATCTCCTACTTTCTCAGTCAATTCGTCTTAGATTAATGCATTCTAGTCTTAGGTTATATAATTCTAATCTTTCTCAATCTCTTCACACATCTTATACAAAATTCTCAAACATAAATAATTGTTTAGAAGTTGACTCACCAATCATGAAACATACCCTTACAAGTTTTAAGATGTTTCAGCCACTCATTGTCTAACCAATTGAACCAAATTTACAATGCTTATATCCGTGACCAGCGGGACAATATTAGCTAAAACGTGTCCCCAAACATATAACAGAG